GTTATAATGTTTGAGGCAAAATGTTGTTAAAGAGCGACAGCCAGTGGAAAAACTCCCAGATTTTGCTGAACAGCGGTGCGACTGAAAAGATGCTAAGCTGTGTGTGGCAGAACCAAACACTAAATATCATCAATTGTTCTTTCAAATGAAGCAACTGTTGAAGAATTTCRAGCAGCAGAACTGTCCCAAATTGATGTTTTGCGTGTACGTCCGTACAGAAGGAAGTGCAAACTGAAAAAAAAAGGTGAGGAAAGCAGGTTTTGTAATTTTCTGCAATGCTGTGCTCTGCCCTGAGCCATTCATACAATCTGYGCCGGGGCGGAGGCCGTTCAGAGCGTGACAGTTTGACTGCAGAGGTAACAGGGAGCCCAAATGTCTCTGAGCCACATTCATAAAGCCCCGTTTAACGACATAAAAGCTCACCCAAAAGCAGCTGTAGTGCCATGGCAGAAAATGGCTCAGAGTGATGAAAAAGTGCTTAGGTTTTATGATTTTTCAGCTCTGCCCTGTTTAGGAGTAGGTGTTTGAACATGGTGGAAAACAACGTTATAAAAACAGAGGCTTGACAAACTGTAGCAGAGATGTGAAATGGCAGAAATATCCAAGCTACAGCTAAATTTGTCGGGATACCAGCATCTCTGGGTTTTCATCACCCGCTGCCGAAGGTAAGTGGTGATCATGTGTCGAGTACTGAGCTTAAATCTGGTGTGGTAGTAGCTGAAAGTCATACTGAACACATGCTTTGACTGCTAATAGATCACACAGGATCTTAGTTTAAAACTTGGACATGGAAGCCAGTAAGAAGGGTGTCTCTGCGGTCACTAAATGGGAGGCTCTTTGTGTGTGGGAGGTGTTTGTCCAAAACTGGTTTCTTTGATTTTTGTGGGAGGATTTCGTTAAAGACATGATTGGTCAGATTTACTATTTTAAGTGGGGTTTGAAGAAGCTCTAAATATTGGGCTGGATAGACACTGGGCAGCTGGGGGGACATGTAGCTCCGTCAAAATGGCTGAAAAGGGTCTATAACTTTAAATCTAAATATTAATTTACTCGAAATAGAATGGTGCTAGCCGTTCGAAATTTGAACGCCATACATAAGGAGGGACGTGTAACAATCCGACTTGGTCAAAATAGCTCTAACATGCCTGGAAAATGATCGCCATCTTTAAATATACAGTATATATATATGTATATATATATATGTTAATATTAGTCATAACTCAAGACAGGAAGGTGCTAGTCTCATTAAATGTGAAGTCAATAAATAATCATTTTTATTTGAGACATTGTTCTGTTTTAAAATATAAACAAACGGTCAATAAATTATATTTACATGTTACTATTACCATTACTTAATCTTACTTCCACCACAAGTCAATCTGACCAATCCCCATTTTGCCAAACTCCACCCACACAGAAATTTCCACCTGTGTACTGCACAGACCCCTGCTTGAAGCCAGTGGGCGATATGCATTGTCTAGAGAAATTTTGGTTTTATTTAGTACTGGAATTGATTTGGTGGAAAGTCCTACATGACATTATGTTAGCAAGCTCTCAACATCATCTGGTAGCTTGTTAACCGTCAAACCTCATCATTTTGATCTTAGATATACATAACTCTTAGCGAGTTAGTATCAATCATATTATGGCATTTTTGGGGCCTTTGATTTCCATGATGCAGATGGAAATGCAGAATTGACCAAACAAAATGGAATCCAGTGTAAGACACGGAATCTCACGGAGTTTGCTTATATGAGTTTCCRAGGTATTTTGGCCACTCCCGCTCCCTGTACCTGCTGTTACCTGGTAATAGACTTTATAGGGCCCTACATTTTGTCCAGAGGTGACCACATAACACAAAACAACATTTATTTATTTTTTTCAGTCTGAAATAATGTGGCGAAACATCAGATGAACTCTGAAAGCTTTTAAATAAAAAAAACAAGTTTTATCAGAGTTTTTTCTTTTTTTCCTCTTTTGTGGTCGTCCCGTTTTTTCCTGACAAACACGTCCAAAGCTGGTTTAACAGATTGCCATGCATGAAGCTTGTGTTTAGCAGGATCACAGCTGTGAAACTGCCCTATTTTCAGCCTTCAAACACTGACTCTCTCTGACGCTCGCACTCATCGGCCGTCACCGGCGCTTTGCCTTTTTCTCTCTTCTTTCCGTCTCTCATCTTCCCCGTTCTGATGTTTCACGACTCCTAAGCCTGCGCGGAGTCATGGTGAGGCAGCTCTATCAGAGTCGCAGCAGTCCAAATCTACACGCCTTGTCAACAGCCATCCCTACCCCTACTAATACTCATATGCATCACCTCCCCTTCTCCTGTTTAATCTCTCTCTTCCTGTCCTCCTGAAAAAAGAAATGTCTGTCACAAATCATTTCTTCCCCTTATTATTTTTTTAACCTTCTTTTAAGCATCTGCTCCTTCTGACTTCTATTAACTACTGTCTGGGTAGGAAGACGATGTGTTTTGAGTGTGAACATATGTGTGAAAGCAAAGTGTAAAAGAAATGTGTGTATACTGAAAAGATACACACTGGCCATTTCTCAAGTGATGCCAATAGTACCTTATCAGCTGTATAATTAGTAATACAGCAGAGTTTGGAGAAAAGGGCAAGTTTTTGTCTAGGCTAGATTAATGGCTAGGGGTGTCCCGATCCGATATTGATATCGGATATCGGTCCGATATCAGCCAAAAAACGAGTATCGGATTTTATCGGCCTGCATAAAAAATGTCCGATATAAGCACTCCTATATTAGCAGTCCGTTCCAGCAGTCCACTGACTCGGCTCCAGTGTTTCTATCCAGCAGCGCTTGGATCCAGCATGCAACGCTCACGTGATCACAACAACATGCAGCGCTAACAAGTTAGCAAGAATGTCGGCAGAACTTTCTATTTTCATCAGAAACAAGAGTTGCAGCTAAGTGCAAAGTTGTCATGCAAAGTTTCCGAGGGAGAACACAGAACCGTGAACGTTTTAAACCGAAGTGACAACTACTCTCCACCCTGGCAGCAGCTTTGCGTTTCGACTCAGTTCGTTCAGCCTCGGTCCAGTGACCGCACACAGCCGCACTGTTTCGGAACCTCCTCTCTGGTCCGGTCGGTGGTTCTAAGCTGGCAGCAGCGAGGACAGCACGCTTAACAGTTTTGACATCCCGTGGATTAGCTCTGGGATTGATGGATAGAAGAAAGGAGAGCACAGCTTTTGTTTTGAAATATAAGCGAGACATGACGAGAGCAGTGATAAAAACTGCTCCCTGCAGGAGCGAGAGGCTGATCTCCACATGATGCTCAGAAAATGCAGCAGTAAGAAAGGTAGCTATCAATTTAAATAACTGACTAATTCTTACTATTTATTTTTTGCTCTTGTTATTAGAGTGATGTTTAATCTGTTTACACACTTGTTTGAGTGAAGATTAAGTGCAATGGTCACGTTGTTTTAGTTACAGTCAGTAAAATTGGAGCTGTGGACTCTTAAATTTGAACAGACAATAATGTGGGGTTTTGTTTTGTCCCCACCTTCAGTTTTTTCCACCATAAAGCAGCACCAGGCTCACAGGTAGTAAAACAATAACCGAAGTGATTTTGAATTATTTTATAATTTAAAAAAACATTTTGTTTTTATTATGTTTTATTTTTCATGGTATTATAATTTATTTTATTAAATTGTGGAATGTTCTTCAGTTTAAAATGTATGTGATCCATTGGTTAAAAATAAATGGGTCAGTTTTTCTCATACCTACTCTTTTTCACTGTTTGACCTGATCAAGACTTTTCTAAGATTTTACATTACAAAATAGGTAAAAGTGTGTGACTTGTACTGTAATGGTAACGGGTCAATATCGGTATCGGTCAATATCGGTATCGGACAATTCTCAAAGTTGTAATATCGGTATCGTATCGGAAGTGAAAAAGTGGTATCGGGACATCCCTACTAATGGCTAGCCAAATAAAAGTCTGTTTTTTACATTTTTTCAGGTGTACGAAACAAGTATTTCTCAAAAACGACATAACAGTATAAAAAATGCTACACTGGAGGGAAATTCAAGACCAAGTCACGACCAAAACCAGAAAGAAAGTCATATTTTCTGGAAAATGACTGCGGAAAAGCTGCTTGTTAATATGATTATTGCTAATATTTGATTCAAACAGCTTTTGAATGTGCTGTTTTGCAGGCAAAAGACACTAATTAAATTCAAATTTCTCATCTGGAGCCCAAAGGGAGACTCCTGAGATAAATTAATAACATTGTGTGTATGTGTGTGTGTGTGTGTAGAGAGAGAAAGCAGTTCCTATTTATAGCAGCTTCTTCAAGACACAAAGCACACAGTGCTGTGATGGCCTCAGCTGCCTCAGGCAGAGAGGGGGTATTGTGAAGCATGCCTGCATCTCACTGTGTGTGTGTGTGTGTGTGTGTGTGTGTGTGTGTGTGTGTGTGTGTGTGTGCGTGTGCGTGTGTAGAGCATAAATGAGTCTAAGAGGGGAAGAGACATGGCGTGTAAGGCAGACAGCAGAAAAGAGGAGCAGTATTTTGGAGAGAATTAACAAATGATTCATTGTGAGTTAATTGACCCACTGTGAAAATGATTAAACAGAATCAGAGCRCTGAACATTTGGACCTGACAGCCTTTGGAAAAAAAAAACGCTGTATGACAGGAAAAGAGCAAGCAGCTGTTTAGGCAGAAACAGGATAAAAAGGGCAATCCAGATTCAACTTGTCCAAATTTGATTTGACATCAAAAACAAAGAACATCAGTACAAAAATCAAATCTAATTTGTTTTATCGGCTCATCACATTTAGCTGACAGTTTCTGTGACACARAACTCTCAAACGGAACCAAAAGACAGTTGTGTCTACAGAACCTCAATGTCCACTGCACTGCTGTGAAACTTTCTGGCTGCCCAATGTTGTCACTTTAATTAGGGGTAGCGTCAGGCAGTTACACCCAAGGGTTTAGCTGCTGCTGCCATGGGTACACACACACACACACACACACACACACACACACACACACACACAC